ATACTCACAGACTAAATTAATACAGTGATATGGATAAAATTATTTGAGGGGTATTAAGTAATGGTAAATAAATATTTTACGTATCCTTGATCTGTGACTTATTTTTGTTTTTTTTTAAATAAATTCCCTTTATACTCACTTGCTAGATAAATAATGAAACGAATGAAGAATGTTACGTAATGATAAATATGCATTATGTTCTTGGGTTTTGAACTTTATTTTGCTCCAATTAATATATATTCTTTATACTTACTAACTAAATTAATGCGAATGAAATGATTTGAAGAGTATTATATAATGGAGATGATCATTTATATCTTGATTCGTGAACTTATTTCTTTAATTCCAATGATGCAAATGTTTTTATACTTACAAACTAAATTAATGCGAATGAAACGATTTGAGGGTATTACGTAATGGTAAATAGACATTATGTTCTTGATTGTGCACTTGTTTTGCTTTTGTTTTTTTTTTAATTCCAATACTAAATTTGCTTTATACTTACTAACTAATTTAATGCGAATGAAATGATTTGAAGTTATTACATAATGATAAATAAGCATTATGTATTGATTTAAGATTGGTTTGCTTTTTTAATTCCAATAATAAATATTCTTTTTATACTCACAAACTAAATTAATGCAAATAATATGAAGGGTATTTAGAAAATAAATAATTATGCACTTGATTTTTGAACTTGTTTTGCTTCTTTGATTAAATAATTAATAGATTTTTATGCTCACGTGCTAAATGATTTAAGAATATTATGGCAAATAAGTAATTGTCTTCTTAATTTGTGAATTAAGTTTGCTTTTTTTTTTAATTCCAATTATTAATCAATATTCCTTATACTCACGTGCTGTTAAATGATTAATGCAAATTGAAGGGTATAAAATAATTAAATACGTATTTACGTTCTTGATTTTGTAAAATTGTGTTGCTTTTTTTCTATACGCTCTTTATACTTACTAACTAAATTAATGCGAATGAAATGGTTTGTGTAATAAGTACATGTGAACTTGTTTTGCTATTTTAATACTAACGATTAATAAATATTCTTTATACTTACCGACTAAATTAATATGGATAAAAAGAGTATTACGAAACGTTAATAAGGATTTATGTTCATGATTTGTGAACTTTTACTTTTTAAATTCCAATTATTAATAAATGCTCTTTATACGCACAGACTAAATAAATACGAATAAAATGAAAGTGTGAAAATATGTATTTATATTCTTGATTTGCGAATTTGGTTTATTTTTTAATTCAAATGATTAATAAGTGTTTTTATACTCACTCGCTTAATGAAATAATTTGGAGGATATAAATTTGACAAATGGGTATTTATGTTCTTGATTTGTGAACTTTTAAATTCTAATAGTTGGTAAATGTTCTTTATACTCACGGGCTAAATTAATACAAATAATTAATACGTATTTATAAATTTGAAATAGTCAATATGTAGAATAAAAATATTCTTTATGCCTACTCCCTGATAATTAAAATTGGATAATTAAAATTTGGATGAGATATTCTCAATTTTTAGAATAAAGTATTACAAAATATTATTACGTACAATAAAAACTTAAAAAATCGACTTACTTTTCAATCCACTCCCAAAATTTATCATTATTTTCTCTCACGCCAATTCCATAATAGTAACAAATGGCAGTTTTATAGATTCCATTAAAATTATTCATTTCCGCAGACTTTTGGAAATGCACAAATGCTTTGTGTTTGTCTTTTTCGACTCCGACTCCTAAATAATAACAATAACCAACTTGATAGATTCCGTTAATATTATTCATATCAGCTGATTTTTTATAATACATGAACGCTTTGTTCTCATTCCTTTCAACACCAATTCCATATTCATAACACCAACCAAGCCTGTACATTTCGTCTGGATCATTCATATATGCCAAATTTTGACAATTAATGAAATCCAGTTGATTAAAGTTATCACTCATTTGAATAAAATCTTTTCTACCGTTCACTTGTTATTATTTTTATGAGATATAGGAAAAATTAATGTTAATGTATCATACCAATGCTGCATATTTATTACTTATGGTGGTTATACATTATAATTACAAAACTAGTTAGTAATATATCCTAAATTATCCGTTGGTATCAACGCGTATTTAGCTATGAACACAGCATTAATTGGAACTATGATTGCGTAACAACAATGAATAACCTAATTTTTTGCTAATGGCGATCACACAACACTAGATAGTCTCCAAAAATTCGAAAGTTGTGTAGTTTTTAACATGATAATGTTCAAAAATCAAGCCTTCATTTAATTTCATCATTAAATATCAAAGTAGAGCAGTAACGCTGCATCGCGAATCATACATTCTATCAAACGATGCAATAATACAAGGAAAGTTTTATTACGCTAGTATTTGAGATGTAACTTGCGTGAATTTCATGACACGGAAATATAGTTTAGCCGATCTGTAAATAATTTAACCTTTATGGTATAGTCACAGACTGGAACTAAATTTAATACATATAGATAGATTTGAATAATTCTGTGATATGTGCAAGATACTGATACTGCAAACATGTGATTTTTTGTCGTATTCTAATTCTAATGCGGCTCTTTCAGGTATTTATTATATGTGTGATATCGATATTGTTAAATTATTTGTTTGTACCAATGGGATAATCGGGATATATTGAAAAATCTCCGGTTAAGCGGTGTAAGACTACACCAATACGTACGTACGTACGTACGTAAGTACAATCACGTTGCATTGGAGTGGTCTGTCAACTAAGTAAATCAAAACTATATATGGTGACTAATACTTAAGCTTTGAATTTTTTTGATCAGTATGACTATCAGTGACATATATATATCCTAATATTATAAAATGATGCCGTATGCAAATGCCCCTTTTAAACGATGCCCGTGTATGCAAATGTCCCTTTTAAACTATCTGATTGGACAATCTTGCATATGTGTGCATAATTTAAATCAGCCAACTTTATTAGGATTATTATTATTATTATTATCGGTAACTGTAATTATGCATGACTAATGTCGTAACAAGATCGTCATAATGATTTAATAATCAATACGTAAAATTGAAGTGCGAAAATCAAGAGCACAGGAACGACCAGTTATTTATTCACTCAATTGTCATCTATGATTTTAAAAATCGATCTTCGTCCGTTATGCGTATTTTGCGGATGTTAGATTAACTGAGATTTAGATAACCATAATAACATGCGTTAGTGAGTCGCATGCTGCGTATCGGCAGAATAGTAAGGTTAAATTTTTACAGTATCTCACGGTAGAAATCATAATAATTTTCAATGCAAACTAACACCGCCTTACAGTAATTCATGTTACAGACTCAACCTTAACTACGTATTGTGTGTAGAGTAGGTTTATAACAGAATTTTTTTATAATAATTCACGATAAGTCCAATATAAGCTACCAGAGTAGTAAACCACATTTTTCCCACTATTAATCCTATATTTTCATAATTTTGAAAAGATCAATCTTTAATGAATTTATTTTTTTTTTACTTTATTTTCTTAAATTATCTTTTCATATAGTTTCTTTTTTAGGGAATTTAACACTATACGTATAAGCATTTCAAATCACATTCTACAGTGTATTATCGCTATAATAATTTTTTACTACTAATTTCTTTTAAATTACAAAAGGCAAGGTTGCTACATTTCAGCTAATTTTTTATAATAAATAAAAGCTTTATATTCATCTATCTCAACTCCGTATCCATTGAGATAACAATATGCAACCACATTTATTGCGTCAGCATAACCCATATTAGCAGCTTTTTGATAATAGACAAGTGCTCTATTTTCATCCACTTCGATTCCAACTCCATTTTGGTAGCAATATCCAGCACTATATATTCCACTAACAAAACCCATATCAGCAGACTTCTGATAATAAATGAATGCTTTATCTTCATCCTTTTCAACACCAATTCCATTAAAATAACAATATCCAACATTATATGTTCCACTAGCATAACTCATGTCAGCAGATTTCTGATAATAAATAAATGCCTTATTTTCATCCGTTTCAACACCAATTCCCTTTAGATAACAACATCCAACATTATATATTCCACTAACAAAACCCATATCAGCAGATTTTTGATAATAACTAAATGCCTTATGTTCATCCTTTTCAACCCCAGTTCCGTATTCATAACAACAACCAATATTAAAAGTTCCACCCATATGACCCATATCAGAAGCTTTTTGATAATAAATAAATGCTTTATTCTCATCTTTATTAACACCAATTCCTGAGTCATAACAAACACCAACACCATATATTCCTTCAGCAAATTTCATATCAGCTGACTTTCGATAATGAATAAATGCTTTATGTTCATTCTTTTCAATCCATTTACCAAAACGATAACATCTTGCAAGAACGATTTGGACAATGGGATCATTTTGATTATCTAAACACCAATTGATAATATTATCAGGATGTTGATTCTTTTTTACTAAAATTTGATCTAATGAATTATTAACTAAATTCAAATCGTCACATAATAAATATTCTTCATTATATTTATCATATAATTCTTTAACAATCTCACTAAAAGAGCTACCATCTTTTAAATCTAATTGATTAAAATTTTCAATTATTTGGGTAATTTCGTTTGATGAATTAATGATATTTTTTGGATGCTCAGCAGTTAAATTGTTTGACATTTTTAAAACCAAGAAATAAAAAACTAAAAATTTGATATAAAAAGTATTATGCTGCATATATAAAATTGTTTGTAATACAGTTTCACATTTAGACATTATGTAACATATTATTAAATTACGTGCAGCAGCATAATTAATTACAAATTGCAGATACCCCAATTTTTCGTACGTACGTACGTATATACACTCGTAGAATTTATGCAATTAAAAGATTTTTAAAAAAAGGATATCTTCTGGAGGCTTATACACATGCCTCTACTACCACTGGGGTACAGACTAAAGTATGTCAGCAGCTCAGAAACAGGGAATTGCCCAGCATGTCCGGAGATCGTCCAAACGCTAGAACATTTCGGGATAGAATGCCGAATTAGTCAACTAATCTGGCAAACTGCATACAATACTCTTAATAGAACCAACCTGAGAACGCCTAGTACGCTAAAGAAGTTATTACAGCTTCTAACATAGACGAAACGAAGAAAACAACCATATTATGGATACACATAGCTGCTATCTACGAAATCTGTTGGTGGGTACTCACAAACGAAGTGAGGAAGGAAGGAAATTCCGGATCCGATACTACCATTAAAAGTCGGTTGGGGAAAGAAATAAAAGTGTTACGAAGTAAGAAACCTCAGAACAAAAAGTTAGAGAAAATTCTAAATTTTATAAAAAATAATTTGTAAATATAAATTGTAATATAAAATTATGTAATTACAAATATTAGCAATCAATAAATCACGCCATATTGCATCCCAATAGCGGGTGTTTAAAAAAAAAAAAATTTTTTTTAAATGCATGTTATGGGAGACTCTGAAATAATATTGCAACTTTTGAAATTCTTAAACCATTTTTCAGCTATATACCATATAGCGCTGTATCCTTTTAAATAGTATCGGTTAGTATTTAATTCTGACCAAATTCGATATGTATTATATTTTTTATGGCCCAAATCAATAATCCTATATATTATTAGCCCAAGCTCTCTTCAATATACCCCTTGCATAGTAAGTACGTACAGTACGTATTCCTTTCATTACACGGTACCTCGGGGTACTATCTAATCCGATATTTTTGTAAAAGGTAATGGAGATACTGCATGCAGCGCTACATGGTAATATTAAGAAAAATATTAGCTTGGTGACTTGTGCTTACAAATTCACATGTATGTACTTAAAATAAAAATAGCTATTAAAAGTATATTTTTTTTACTTAATCTGACCGAGATGTTAAATATTTCTAAATTGATTATGCCAAGTAAAAAAATTAAAATGTGAATTTGAAACGAGATTAATCGGCATACAGTAGGAATAAAAAATACCACATTACTATATAGATAAAAATATGGATTGAAAATTGCGAACAAAGAAAGAAACAATTTAAAAAAAAAATTTTCAACGACTTTTATGCTTCAGAAAAAAGTAAAAATCGATTCACAAAAGGCCAACAGCTATACAAAAAATCTAAGATAATAAATCTTGGTTATGTCTAGTATTCTATACTTATATTTAAAACTAGTCTTAGATTTAGGTACTGAACACTAAACTCTATTTTAATTAAAAAGAAAGCAAATATAAAATTATTCAAAAAATTTTAATTAAATAAAAAGACATCAAATTATCAATAATTAGTAACGTCATGTTACCTATATCTAATTTTTAGGTTAAATTAATGCATTTTTTTTAAATTCCAAAATTTTGTTGCTACTTACAAATCGTGCCCATAATAAGAATATATTGTCTAAATTTCCCAACAATTACTAACATTACTGTTGGTAGAAATTTATTCTTGTCATGTATGGTTTATGCAATACTCTAGTAAAAACATTATGGATGAATATATTATTTAACGATATGTATGTAATGATATGAAATGATATGAAATGATATGAAATGATCTGTAATTTACACATTTTTTATGGGATTCAATTCCGATGATGACAGAAGTTTCATACGCGCAATATTGCAGGTCCCTATGTGACAAAAACTAAAATAAGAATAAACGAAAGCATCAGCACAAAAATTTATTTAAATTTAAATTTATATTTAAGTATTCACTCGGAACATTCAAATATTTCAATCTTATTCTTTTTTAATTTTTATTGTCAGTTTTATCATTAAATTTAGAAAGTTTATCCTTCCAAATATAATTATAATATTTATGACTACCAATGCCAAATTATAATTTTAGAGCTATTATTAATTCGTTACTAGCATTCATCTGTATCCTATTTAGAGATGGATTTCATGCGTATGCATGGTTGTGAATTTAGCGAATGATTACAAAAAAAACATTTTCTAATCACCAATCCGATTATTTTATATTAATAATTTTGAAAAGATTACTCTTTAAACATTTAAGTTGGTTAATTTATTTTCTTCAATTATCCTTCATATAGTCTTTTTTTTTTTCAGGGAATTTAACTTATATATGCATTTCAAATTCATATTCCACAACGTATTATCACTAAAATACTTTTTTACTACTAATTTCTGTTAAACTTAAAAATAGTTAGTTTGTTACATTTTCAGCTAATTTTTTATGATAAATAAAAGCTTTATATTCATCTATCTCAACTCCATCTCAATAAAGGTAACAATAACCAACCGCATTTATTGCTTTAGTATAACCCATATTAGCAGCTTTTTGATAATGGATAAATGCTTTATGTTTATCTTTTTCGACTCCAATTCCGTCATGATAACATAAACCAACATATTATATTCCACAATCAAGACCCACGCTAGCAGATTTTTGATAATAAATAAACGCCATATGTTTATCCTTTTCGACGCCAATTCCATAACGATAACAATTTCCAATACTATAAATTCCATAAACAAAACCCATGTCAGCAGATTTTTGATATTAGCTAAATGCCTTATGTTTATCCTTTTCAACGCCAACTCCGTATTCATAAAAATTACCAACAGCAAAATATGACCCATATCAGCAGCTTTTTGATAATTACTAAATGCTTTAGCCTCATCTTTATTAACGCCAATTCCATGTTCATAACAAACACCAACTCCATATATTCCTTCAACAAATGCCATATCAGCAGACTTTTGGTAATGAATAAATACTTTATGTTCATTCTTTTCAATCCATTTACCAAAACGATAGCACCTTGCAAGAACGATTTGGGCAATAGGGTCATTTTGATTATCCAAACACCAATTGATAATACTATCAGGGTTTTGCTTCTTTTCTACTAAAATTTGATTCAATGTGCTAATGAATATATCCAAATCGTCACATAATAAATATTCTTCATTATATTTATTATATAATTCCTTAACAATTTCGCCAAAAGTACCGTCATATTTTAAATCAAATTGGTTAAAATTGTCGGTTATTTGGGTAGTTTCGTTTAATGAACTAATGAATTTTTTTGGATATTCAGCAGTTAATTTATTTGACATTTTTAAAATCAAGAAACATAAAACAAAAAAAATTATATACAGTATAAAAAGTATTGCATACGTAATACTGTATTTTATTTGGCCACTTTTTGTAACATACCCTAAATTACTTGCAGCATAATTAATTGGTTACATATTGTTGATGCCCCAATTTTGTGCATTGTTACATAAATGAGCAGTACTTAATGCGCACTCAAATAACCTTTTAATGCGTGCTATGGGTGATTCTGAAATAATGTAAATCTTTGAAATTTATTTGATCCGACCATTTTTTTTCAGCTTCATAATATTTTAAAAAAATTTAAATTCTTTACTACTCCATTCACTTGTATCCTATTTTAGAGATAAATTTCATGTATGCGCATGATTATGAAATATTAAAAGTGATTCCGAAAACTACGCATTTTTTCATTATTAATCCTATTATTTTCATAAGATTGAAAAGATCAATCTCAAAAAATTTCAATTATCTTTTCATATAGTTTCTTTTTAGGGAATTTAACACTATGCATATAAGCATTCAAATTCACTTTATACAATGTATTGCGTATCATTATAATAATTTTTTATTATTAATTTCTCTAAGAACAAAAAGCAAGTTTGTTACATTTCAGCCAATTTTTTATAATAAATAAAAGCCTCATATTCATCTATCTTAACACCATATCCGTTAAGATAACAATAACCAACCACATTTATTGCATCAGCATAACCCATTTTAGCGGCTTTTTGATAATAGATAAATGCTTTATTTTTATTCTTTTCGATTCCAACTCCGTTTTGATAACAATATCCAACACTATATATTCCAATAACAAAACCCATGTCTGCAGATTTTTGAAAATAAGTAAATGCCTTTTTTTCATCTTTTTCAATACCAATTCCGTTTTGATAGCAATATCCAACATTATATATTCCACTAACAAACCCTATTTCGGCAGATTTCTGATAATAAATAAATGCTTTATCTACGTTCTTTTCAACACCAATTCCATTAAAATAACAATATCCAACATTATATGTTCCACTAGCATAATTCATGTCAGCAGATTTCTGATAATAAATAAATGCAGTATGTTCATCCTTTTCAACGCCAATTCCCTTTTGATAACAACATCCAACATTATATATTCCACTAACCAAACCCATGTCTGCAGATTTTTGATAATAACTAAATGCCTTATGTTCATTCCTTTCAACTCCAGTTCCGTGTTCATAACAACAACCAATATTAAAAGTTCCACCCATATGACCCATATCAGAAGCTTTTTTATAATGAATAAATGCTTCATTCTCATCTTTATTAACACCAATTCCATTAAAATAACAAACACCAACACAATATATTCCTTCAGCAAATTCCATATCAGCAGACTTTTGATAATGAATAAATGCCTTATGTTCATTCTTTTCAATCCATTTACCAAAACGATAACACCTTGCAAGAACGATTTGAGCAATAGGGTCATTTTGATTATCTAAACACCAATTGATTATACTTTCGGGATTTTGCTTCTTTTCTACTAAAATTTGTTCCAATGTGTTAATAACTAAATTCAAATCGTCACATGTTAAATATTCTTTATTATATTTTTCATATAATTCTCTAACAATTTCGCTAAAAGAGTTATCATCTTTTAAATTCAATTGGTTAATATTGTCAATTATGTGGTTAATTTCGTTTGATGAACCGATTATTTTTTTCGAATGTTCTATAGTCAAATTAATTGACATTTTAAAGACCAAGAAGCAAAAAGTTTGATAAAAAGTATCATTGTTACATATATAATATTATTTGTAATACTGTATCATATTTAGGCACTTTATGTAACATATAATTAAATTACATGCAGTACAATTAAATTTATAGTTACAAATTGTTGATATCACAATTTTTTTGTTTTTTTTTTGTTTTTTTTTTGTACGTAAATACAATGCTACCGGAACAAATAATTCATAACATACGCACGAGATATTTTTAAATGCAAGCTATGAAATAATGATGCAAATTTTTGTAATTTTTAATATTCAAACACATTATTCAGCTTTATACTGCACAACTCTGCATATACAGTACCCCTTGGAAAATTATCCCTTTAAATAGTATCGGCATATATTTAATTATAAATTCTACCATTTTTGTAAAATATATGTTAAACGATCAACCCACACTATCTTCAGTATACACCCTTGCATAGTTCACACAGTATCCAGGAGTGTTATTTAATTGATCTTGTCATTTTTAAAAAAGGCCAGAGGTAATGTATGCAGCGCTGTACGGTAATATTAAAAAAAATATTATTTGTGATTTGGTTTATGAATACATATGTACGTCTTATGATTTAGTAAAAAGTAGAAATATAATTGCAAGGAATCCAAGATCTATTGAAAAGGATAGCGATGAATAATGAATGCGTAATGTAGCTCCAACCGCTACTATAGGCTATGTGGATCGAACGATGCAAGGTTTCTAAGGGCATAGTAAATCTATAAGAGACTTTATGATAGTGGGAACTTAATTAAGGAAAATCATTATGAATATATTACTTTATGTTGAAAATGGTTTATTAAAATAAATGCTTCACTTTTATACATTTTGATCAATATGAGAACGTGTTTGGAACCTACTTTATGACATCAGAGGCTTCACTCTATCGTGTTAGCCTCATTTCAACATGCACACTGCCTCATACGGGGGCTTTGAAATCATACTAACTTAGGTAGATGATCAAAAGGAAGATCATAAAAAGAATTTGTTACACTATATAAAAATCCAAGAAGATCAACCTTACTTATATATAGTATTTTCGAATTTATCTCTAAAAACTAGTCTTAAATTTATGTGCTGAATACTGTCACGTAGTTTGACAACTACCTATAGTTTAACTCATGTTTACGGATCTTTTCACGCTTGACTTTCCCTAATTGGTGTATCATACAGGTACTACTACCAAAGCGAGGACATACAGATACACGGTTCTTAATTAAAGGTTACTTAGAAAACCAAACTTTCAATAAAATAAACCTTCTGAATTCATGCTTCTGTTCGATTCCCTTAAAGGATCATGACCCTGGCATAATTATAGCTGTTTTCAAAAAGGTGCAACCAGGTGCAAACTACTATACCATTGGAAAACCTCATGATTTCTTTGATTTCCTTGATTTCGTGAATAAGGGAAATCAAAGGGAAATCGATGAAATCAAGGAATTCGGTTTGTACCTGGTTACACCTTTTTGAAAACAGCTGTAATTATTGTGATACTGATCACAGATCTGATCACGCCATGGATTGGATCACGTTACACTGAGTGTTCAATGTAACTACCCAGTAGCACCAAAAATTATATATATGAAACTACTTACTGTGCATTAGCAAGAAAAATTCCTTGCTAAATTTTGGTATAAAAAAAAGCCCGATGCGATGATAAGATTATAAACTAACTATAATATAATGTTTTGTTATTTATAAAAATTGGTTTGATCAAATCTGATTTATGTCGATCAGTGAAAATCTGTCGGTGCTACTGGGATAGTTTGTTCGATGTACTGTACTGTGTAGATCAAATTTATGTACGTACGTTGAAAAGGTGTAACTTATGCGTTTAGAACTAAAATTAGCTAGATACAAACACTACAACTATTAATCTTGTTAGGCAGAAAGAGGTGTGAAGAGACTTGGTCCGAGTCTCAAAGTTTTTTGAGTCTTGCTACGGTGTATTTGGCGGTTCAGATAAGTATACTTCGGAATTATACTCTTAGTATTGATTAGTATACTTAAGCCGGAAGATAATTATGGTTCTTTCTTTAAGTTCAGGTTTTGGTATATTCAAAGCTTCGATATGATCGTTAAGATTCTTAACGATCATCACGTGTATCACGTGTGATGTCACTGGAATAGTGATATAGGCTAGCCCCGGCACAACGGCCGGGCCGATGGGCGGGTCGACCCTCAGCCTGCACCCTTGTGGGTCAGGCCGGTTGATAAAAGAAGTGCTAGAATTGAATCTCATATACTGGCTAAAAAAATCAACGAATCATTTATGAAAATATAGACACTCATTAGTTGGCTAATTTAGGCGATAAATTAGCGAATAACTAATACGTATAAGAAACTGACATGTTCGGGTGCATAGACAATTAATCAACATAAAATATAATGCATTATAATTAAATACAAAAAGAATAAAACCAAATGTTTTTAGTTTATAGAATTTGGCAAGGAACTACCTGATGGCTTTCTACATGTTTGATATCGAGGCTAATTCTTATTAGAAAAATTTATATTAGCAAAAAGTTCAGCTCAGTCTACCGGCCCGAGCTTTTTTAGGATCGACCCTGGCTCATGATTTTTTCATCAACCCATATCACTACACTGGAATTACAGCTGCGGTGATCGGTGACTTAATCTATTCTGAGATTCTTGCGTCACGAGTAAGAAATCAGTAGATCTGAGGCTTAATTTACTATTCCGGTACGTCATGGGGTTATTATGTCACAAAGATCAATTTAATTAATTAATCGAACAGTATCACATGCCTGTGAACAATTATTTATTTGGAAGAACACAAGCACATAATGCTGGATACTGAACTTTATTAGCTTGTTTCAGTGCAATATACAGCATACATCGGTGCATTCGATGTATAAATGATCTAGCTATTTGTGGTGTCAGCTAGTGGTTTCTCACCCACATATGCGGGCCGGCTGTTGACTAAGAGTTTTGCAGTTAAGCTATTGCTGCATAAGATTGATGTTTAATATTAGCTGGTGGTTTCCCACCTGCATATCGCAGGCCGGCTGTAGACATGTCTGGTCGCAAAAATGGCAGGATTCAGTGGTCTCTAAATTAAAATCTGAATTCTGTCATTTTTATCATTATTTTTATTATTATTCTTGAACATGCATGTATATGTGCCATTATCATTTTTATTTCTCATGTTTGGTTTATTTGTTTATTGCTGTATAGTACTATTATTTCAGTTTTTTTTTTTTGCATATATTCCAATGATGATCAATCCAATCTAGAGAGGACTTCATGTCTGTCAGAATATGCTTTGTTTAGTATGGTAGCTACTGTTGCTGGATGTGCCCGGATGTATCTATAAAATGTGTCCGAAGACCATCTGCTGATTTTTTGAATAAGTGCCAGTTCTACACCCCGCACTACTAATTCTGTGGTACTATCTGCCCAAAAGCTATGTCCAGCTATGTTATCACCAGGAAGAAGTAATTTTAGCTTCTGTATAAACTAATGCTTTGATGCTAGGCTGCCATTAGCCTTTACAAATAATGCTTTTCCCCCAGAAGCATAGTTTGGGTTAGTCCTATAGATGGTGTATGCTTTAAGCACCCGGATTGGGCATGTTTCATCCTTAGTTGCATTGATTATTAGCATTGAGCACTCGGTTGTTTTATGCATCTTTGTTCTTGGTAACTGTATCATTGTATAAGATCCTCCTCTCATGCTTTCGAACCTTAATGCCTGCACCGATAGTACTTTAGCTTCTTCTTGTTGGGATTTTGGCAGAAGTTCCTTCAACTGGGCCAACCCATAAAATGCCACAAATGCTACAGCTATGAATAGCAAATCTTCTGCTTTGCTAAAATCTAGCTTTGCTTTCATTCTTTTTAGTTGAACCCTTGTTATATGTTCTTTTTGCTAGGTTGGTTTAAATATCTGTAGTTTTCAGCAATTGCTTAATTAATGGATTGTAGCGTGTGTTGTTTCACTCCATTTGGTTCATTGTGTGATGATGTCATAGTGCGGATAGGTATAATAAAATATTTAATAAATTCAGTAAGACTTTCCTTGGATATTGGCCATATGGTCCCATTTAAATTTTTTCATTGATTTTCTTCTGCCAGGTTTTGATAACGTTTAATTATTCTGTTATATGTTTTGTATTCTAGTGCATGAACCCCAGGATTATTGCTGCTTGCACATTTAATGGTGATATATTTGTCCATGCTTGCTTATTTCTGGCACCCGGGACCTTCTTCTTGTATGCTATTATTTGGTCAGAATAATAGGTTGTAAGTATTGTGCAAATGGGTTTTGTGCAATATATTCTTTGTGTCTATTGCAAGACAATAGATCTGCCTCTATATTGCATTTTCCAAATATGTGTTCTAACTTTATACAGTGCAGACAACCTAGTCTCGACTAATAAATTGTTTTAGCGGCCAAATTTAAAATATTATGTAATACGGCCAAATTTGAAACTTCTATTATATAATCATGCGACATAGCCAAATTAGATATTTCTGTATATTATAAACAAAGCAAAACTTGAAATATCAATATCAATTTTGACAGATTAAATTAAACACACATCATGTGAATCACTTTACTACTCTTTACTATATAAAGCTCGGACTTGAGGAATGAATAGTGTTTCTATTAAAGAAACCCAACCTATTTCGCATAATGATACTTAGTATACTAAAGTTATAACCTATAAATAATCCAAAATTAACCTTTAAAATAATACATTAAGGATATTTGTACTGAAAAACTTTTACCCAATGACTAAAAGCTAAATGACATGCTTTCAATTCTTTTTTTTTGGTTTTGAATTTATTCGCATATTGATCTTACAATCAAATTTGGCAGTAATAATGAATTGTTAAATTTTATGCTGTGGGAATAAAGAACAGTACCAATAACCATAAAAAAATTTCACAAAGAAATAGCTCAAATTAGTAAATAATAATTTACTAACTATATATGTCAATTGATTGTTTCAATCAATCAATTTATGCATTTGGATCCTTATAACAGCTAGGCGGTAATAATAATATCTTGATACATCAAGTATTAGTGAGAACAAAGATTCTGCTTATATACAGATCAGGATATTATTATTCATTAATCTTGATGGTATTGATATAACCGGATTATTTATCTAATACTAATGCATCTAATATGGTCAGACATTTCAATTTTAAAAAAAGATTATAAACTTTTCTTACCCTTAAATAAATAATAAATAAATAAATAATATTTAAATATTGATATTTACTCCTAAAATAACCCTAATAATAATGTAAATATTAAAAAGTTCCTTCATAAACTCCTGCAGGGAGATTCCAAAATTCCAGGTTGCGAATATATCAGAACCTGGTCAAATAGACCGGAATTGATCTATTTCACTAAAAATTTTACTAATGAAATCATATTCATTCATTAAGTAAAAAAATGCCCAGCTGATAATTTTACTATAGCTTCTGTTAACCCATATAGCTAACTCTAACCTGATGCATTATGACCCAGAAATTTGGGAATCCTCCTATAAAAAATACCTGTTGAACATATTATTACAACTTTTTAGTTCGTGACTTCCAATGTGATGTAATTATGATGTATTCAAAACTTTAATCTAAAAAGTAAAATAATTAAAAATAAATAATAATAAGGGTAAGCATGTGAAAAATGCGTGCTAAATTTTAAAGTACTATAGCTTCAAATAGTAAGAAATTAAATGTTAGAAAATAATCATAGAATGCCTTAATAGATAAAATTGATAAAAGAGAAATTTTTTTAAATAACTGTCAATTTGGTCAAAAATAATTTCTCACATTTTCTTAATAAAAGTAATTATAAGCATGAAAGCTGTTTTAAACAATAATTTTTCGTTAATATCAATTCAATATGCCACATCCAACAACCCGTCAAAAAAAACCAAGAAGGCTTATGAAGCAAAAGCGAATAAGCATAATAACGATGCCAATAACTCATAAACAGAAAACTCTGATGATATGGACAATCTTTCTGCTTATGATGAGGCAGTTGAGAATAATAATGCTGCAAATATTGTGAAAAACCTTCAAGCAGCAGTCAACCAGTATAATTATTACGATTATAACACTGAACTAGAAGATAGTAATAGTGATGATAATGCTTATAATGAGCCAATTGAAAATGATAATGCTAAAAACATTGTAAACAAACTTCAAGATGCAGTAAATAAATATTACCAGGAACGTGATTCTAGCCAAACTTATAGACTTCGTTATTTAGGAAACTCAGACCGTACTAAAAGAAGAAAAAGACAGCAACAGCATAAAGCAGCAAAAGGAACCCTTCATTATATACCTTTTGGAGACAAGAAACATCTCATCAAGAAGCTAGTGAAGTAGAATTATATGATGAAGAGTTGGAAGATGAAGAGTTGGAAGACGAAGGTTAGTTAGAGGAGGTTGATAAGAAGGTTGATGAGGAAGATACTATGGGGCTTTTAGAAGATAAAATTGAAACCTGTAATTGGCGTAAAAAAATTTCTGTTGCTCTTCAAAACTTAGTATTAGACATCAAAAAAGAAAATGTAAATAGTGAAGTTTGGGTACATCTTTGTAGTATTCGTTTTTATCTACAGCTTGTAAAAAATAATCATCAAAAAATGGAAGCAAATAAAATAATTGCAGATGTAGCAGGAAAAGGAGTATATCATGCTAAATACATTCGTTTTTGGGCACATGAGTATATTATGACACATCAGATTCCCTACTCTTGCCGAGGACACCATGCTAAAACATGGAGCTTTCTTTGGGATGAAGATATTCTTCTTCAAATAAAATCGTATATTCGAGAAAACAAGTGGAATATTACACCACATATGGTTATGTTACAAATGAATGAAGTCATCTTACTAGGACTCGGATTTGCACCACCTCCAACTATCTCTTATAATACTGCTAAAAATTATTTAAAAGAGCTTGAGTATATTTATAGGAAAGTACAAAAAGGTATTTACATAGATAGACATGAAAGAGAAGATGTAGTAGCCTATTGGAATATATTTTTAAGATGAATAAGTGAACTTGAATATAGAATGTCTGTGTTTTCAGAAGATAATATGTAAATAGAAACTTGGCCAGATAGTAATATACAACCTCTTATTCTTGTTACACATGATGAATGTATTTTTTCTGCTTATGATGGAAGCCGATACCTTTGGATTCCTGATGGTGAACAACCTTTACGAAAAAAAGGTTAGGGTCATTCAATTCATGTTACGAATTTTTAACTGATATTTGTAGTTGACTTGTACTTTCTGATGAAATGCAACCATCAAATGAGCTTCCTAAAGAAGCCTGTGTTATCATATATCCTGGCAAAAATGGTGATGGGTGGTGGAAGGCTGAGAACTTAGTTGACCAGGTAGTCTATTATATTTATGTAATAAAATTATATTACAAACCTTATTTGCTATTGTAGTAACACACAATATGTGGTTACAATAAAATTGAATTAGTTTATAATTAAATTAATCATTATGACTTCTATTATGTTTTATTGTAAAAAATTATATTTCAAAACTTGCTGACTATTGTGATAACACACAGGTAGTCAACCGTGCTATTCCCATATTTGAAGCACGTTTTCCAGGATGCCAAGCTTTGTTTGCATTTGATAATGCAACAAGTCATGCTGCTTTTTCACCTAACGCATTTATTGCCGACAATATGGACCTTAGTTCTGCTAGAAAGCAAGAAAAATTACGCAATACATCGTATTTTTGTGAGGGAAGAAGATATAATCAGGATATGGTTTTTCCATCAGATTATCGTATTTCTGAATTACATGGAGAAGCTAAAGGATTAAGAGAGGTTTTAACAGAAAGAGGATTATGGCCAGAAGAGGGATTAAAGCTAAAAGAAGCTCAAGAATTAATGAGTCAGCAACCAGACTTTTTGGCACAAAGAGGACAGTTGGAAGAAATTATCGTTGCAGCTAGTCATCAAATTATATTTTATCCATTGTGAGCTTAATTATATTGAGAACTTCTGGGGTGCAGCCAAAAAATATAGCCGGTCACACTGTGATTATTCATGGAAAGGACTGCAAAGAACTGTTCTATTAGCATTCAATTCTGTCCCGCTTCTAACTATTCGCCGATTTTCAAGAAAAGCATTTCGTTATATGGATGCATATCAAAAAGAGTTGAAAGATAAAGCAGCTGAATATGCTGTTAAAAAATACCATTTACACCGCTGAATTCCTGATTCAGTTTTAAGTTTAATTGAATCTGATTAGTTATTTCTTTTTTTTTTTTTTTGCATATATAAATTTAACATTATCTATTTCTTAAATACTTATCTCGTTTCTTTTCTTATTTTTTCTTTTTGATCTCTTTACAATAAAATATAAATTCTATATACGTTTAACATTATGCAAGGCTGTTAAGTTTATAATTATCAGTAATGATATTAAAAATATACTCAAATCTGGTTTTAAATACTGAAGAATTAGTTTCACAAAGCTAGCGCTATGTAGTATATTAATCACACATGATCGATGCTTTTTAAAGTCTTAAATAACCCGAGCATTTGTATTTATTCGAATTACTATTTTTGGCTATTTAGATTCTTTGTCTACACCAGATCTCTAATGATAATTGACTTTATGTTATAATTGGTTGTAAATAGCCAAGTTAACAGTTTAATTGTAATAAAATTGCTTATTTTAATGTATAATATATATAGTAGCCAAATTACTTGTTTTAATAGCGGCCAAATTGCTTAGTTTAATAGTATATGTAGAGCGGCTAAATTGCTTGTTTAATTATAAAAATAGTTCAACTTTTATCTTCTATTATTTTTTAAAACATACTAAAAAAAAATTTTAAAACTGTGAAAGTGTTTAATTTAAATAATATTATCATTTTGAGATAAGATTTTATATTTATTAATTTTTTTGAAAAAGGATTAGCAATTTGAAATTTATCAATTTTATTAGTTGGGACTAGGTTGTCTGCACTGTAGAAAAATTTCCTTGTATTTGCACTATATACATCTCACTTATTATATTATTTATTGCCTCATTTTTATAGAAACCTGCATAAAAAACCTCTGAATTAGCCTGGTTGTTTATCCACATTATTAGCCACTTTTTTTCCATAGTAACATGAAGGTATATATTGCTATTAAGCTTGTAAGAAGTTTGTGTATTTGAATAGAGTGATCAGCTAGATTCATTGCCACACTCCAATTAAAAGCTATAAAATATAACTCATATGTTGCACCACCACCCAGGTTGTATGCATCTGTAAATAGGTTCTTCATATCTGGCTGAAGCCAAATTCTATCCTCAAGTAGATATACTCCAGACTATTTTGGAAGAGTTTCTAACCACTATTGCAAATTTTCCTTCATTGGTTTTGATATTTTTATTCGAAACTTTGATTTTTTGAATTCTCCTATAACTTTTATGAACCGTTAAACAAATGGCCTACTCTGGGGTACTGTCTGACATACCCACATAAGAGAGCCCACTAGTGATTGCATCTCTTTTTTGTAAGACAACTCTTTACCATTCTACTCAGCTACCATTTCTAATTTTTTTTTTTTTTTTACTTCAGAAATAGATGCAAAAAAATTAACTGTATCAATTTAAATTCCCAGTAAGATTAATGTTGTACACAGACTTTCTAATTTTGATAGCTTGTATGGAATATTCATTATTTCTAAAATATGTAAAAACTGTTTTAATTCCTGTTCTGCATTTTTTTCAGATAATTAGGAAATTATCAGCATAATGAATAATCGACTTAATTCCTTGCTGTATAGTGATCTATGTAATTAGATCTGCAAATCTACAGAATATACCACCTGAAACCCAATTACTAAATGAAAGTGCCTTGTCGAAGTATTTCTTATTGTTGTCCTATACTTCTTGGAGTACTTAATCAATAGAATAAACTGGAAAAATGCGATAAGCATCCTTGATATCAACTTTAATAGCATATATCCTTTTCCATATTGAGTAATCTATCTTACTACATGATTTATATTTTCATATTTGGTTGCAAAGTTGATACTATCAATATCATCATTTATACTTGTTTCTGCAGGTGCAGATAAATGTAATATTATTCAATATTTTTTAGGGTTAGTTCCTTTCTTCTCAACTAGGCCGCATGGGTTTATTTGTAAGGCTAAAAATGGAGGGTCTTCTAGTGTAAAGAGGCCACACATATGCCTGATAGCTAATTCACTTGCAATGTAGTTTGTTAATACTGTTAGTTCTATATCAGCTGACTTTAAATTACTCTGTATAGTTATTGTACGCTTGCCTGTAAAATTAAATCTAAATCCATTCTTGAGACCATTACTCAAATACTCAACAAATGCTTTGTTTGGGTGCTCACGTATTAGATATTCGAAAGCCAATTTGTTGATTGGGGTCATTATATTGAACTATGCTGGATCTAACTGTGCCATAATCATTGCTTCTTCTTGTATAAGTGGGATGCTTCGTGGATAGACAGCTTCAATAGTTGACTCAACTGACTGTAAGTATGGTTCCGTAAATACTGTTATTGTTCTGTAGTGCTCCTATGGACTGGACTCAAACTAGACTTTAGTCAAGTTTGAGTCTGGTCTGATTTTCAGACCGAACTCAGACTTTTATATTAAGACTTTTTAGTCAAGTCTGAGTTTGGTCTGGGTCTGGTCCGAAGTCTGCAAACTGGTCTGAGTCTGAATATAATGGTTGGACCCGGGTATGCATTACCCGGGTTACCCATGGGTGAGTCAGGTATCGAGTTACAATTTTTAAATATAGTTATCAATCAGTTCTAGCTTAGTCTTATTAGCTTCTAAAAGTTGTTTTTTGATTTCAACTTGATATATTTTATCTAACAAATGAGTTATTATTTCAATAATTTCTGCTATTGTAAGTCATTTATCAAAATCTTTATCTATATATTTAATAGCTAATTTAATACAACAATCTAGTCCTAAACATTTAGGTCTTGATTTACCAATAATTTTTAATACTATACAGAATTCTATTAAATGCTCTTTGTCCGGCTGAAATCTTAGTTGCTTGCAATAACTCCAAGACTATAAATATCAGATGCTTGAGTATACGGTTGGCCCATTAAAACTTCAGTGCTTTATATAGTGAAATTCCAAGATCAGTAATATGTGCGTTATGCAAATATTCTTGCAAAATTTTTCACTGTATAAGTCTCAGTAATCGAATCCCCATGAATTGATTGATTCAAGATATTCAATTTATTTTTCCATTCTGATTTTGATACTTTTACAAGATTTTGTTGTAATGAATTTCTGGTGCAATCTGCAAAACAATAATATAATTATTATGATTAACATGCTTCATATATAGCTGTGAATCCCTTTTCTCAAGTTCTTAGACAATTGTGTAAACCTATTATAATATTAATCTCTTATTATCTAATTTTCTCTTAAGTTCTATACCGATACTATTTCGATACATTAAACATCACTTCTTTATTACCCATATTAATAGCCTTTTCATAATATTCAAATGCTTTATTGTAATCTTCATCAACTCCATTCCATTTTTATAACAAAGACCTATCCGGGAATACATAAGTATTATTAAAAACGAAAAAAACTTCGTATAAAGAAGTTACAAACTAAAACAGTACACATATACAAATAAATTTATTATTAATATATAGAGAGTAGATAAATATGCATAAAGTAGACAAATAAAATATTTATTACTAATATTAAAGAATCTACTATATAAGATAAACTAAACAAACTATTAAAATTTTAACTATTAATTTGCTTAAACACACTACAAGATCTGACAAAATTAAAATATTAAGCCTGGATCTTCTTGTTAAAGAGCCTGTACCTATTCAAATTAAACAGAAATAAAAATAATTTTAGACAAAAACATTTCCAGTTGCTAAAAGATTTTAAAAGTCAAATAAATGTTACCTTCACTCTACAGTATAATTTAATATGCCCAAAAGCAGTAAATAAAGTTCACGGAGATATTAATTATTACTGCATAGTGAAATATAGACAT